AATACATAATACTCGGAGATTTGTTTAACACATAGACTATACATTATTAGGAAATTCAAGATTTAGATTTCAGTTTATATTTGGAATAGAGCTCAGTAAGTGCTGTTTTTTCTGTGCAGATGGAAATGTGCCCTATGCAAATTTCACAACTGCAACACTGGCACACACCTCTGCCAGTTTCAGGACCCCTGCACGATTCATCATCGCTCTAAGAACAATACATTGAATGTTATACAGATCTAATATTTGCAAACAACTCACCCCGTGAGGCCCACAACCGTATCATCGATAGGAAGAACATGGACACGCTTTCCATAGCTGATGTTTGGAGCAGCGGTAATACTAGAAAAACTTTTTGAAACGAAGTAAAAGGCAACATTACAAATTCTATTCACATTTTGATACATCTAGAGAGATCTAACTTCAACATTCCATTACGATACGGAAGTTAGAAAAATGACATACTATATAACTTACAAACTTTAAATAGTCGATATTTTGCTGCGTATTGGCATCTAATCCGACAGTGCAAATCGCGGGAACATTAAAGAAAAACTGACTTGCTACTTCCCTTGTAAGTCTGTTTTAATTATTAAAGTACCTACTAGGATGTTAGAATACCCAACTAATCAAAAAAATGCACTGCTTTGAAATAACAAACCTTACAACATCACCCAAACGTACGCGTAAATTATTTCGGACCACTCGATTCATGCGGATTTTATCATTTGGACAAGTGTCATCCGACAACACGATGCATACTGTCTCTTTCCGCTTTTTTCCTTTCAAAATAACTGTATCGCCACGAAACAAATTTAATTCATCCATCTTTGCCTAGAAAATTAATTGCTTCAATGTAAGAAGACTTAAGGACTCTAACAAGCAGTAATGTAGTGGCTATTACGCGGTATTTTGATAAAGCAATTAGTATTGGAGATGTAGTACGCTGCATCACGCATCTTAAGTAAATTATAATTTCAATCGTAGTCAAATTTTATACTTGCGAGAGAGCAACCACAGAATTGTCATCGTTAATAGATTGATCAACGATCAGCCGATTTGGCTTCACTTTATCTTTTAAGATAGCTGTTGCTAACTCCTCATTCTTCTTTGTTTTATCATCAACCGTTCTGAAATTCGCAACTCGTTACATCTGTTAAATGAATATATCAGAATAGCATAACAAATGGCAATATTTTTCTAGCTTATTACTATTCCTATTATATGTTTCGATCACTTGTCTATGTAAAAATGATAACTTACGTTGGGATGGATGCCATTATTCAACGTATCGTTCTTATCCGGAACTGGTGTCACACAAAATGAAGTAAAGCTCTCAAAAAAATAATATAAGTAAACAAATAAATGAGTAAATAAATTAACCAATAAACAGTATATCATAAAATGAGAGGTCAACACACATAATCAATAAACCACTACATTCGTCGTAACTATATGCCAGTTTCTTCGACATGCACACATCATTCTGAAGCAAGCCCTCTACTAATCTTCATATTTGCATACACATCAAATGAAAACAAGATGAAAAAATACTAAGCAGTTCATAATTTTTTAATATTCAACATTAATTTCTTAGTAATTCGACATTAAGCAAAATATCTGCCATCTTCCCATTCCGAAAAATATCTTTGCAATGCCTCTATGAAAGACTTGTTGCTCACCACAAATTAAGTTAGTCCCTTTCCTTCTCTGCGTCACGGAAAATGCATACCGCATTATCAACGAACATATAAGGAATAAGTGCACGATTCAACTTGAATCACAGACTAACCTTATGCTGAATCATGTAAAACAAACACTGACAGTGAGTGCTGCACACTCAACACAGCCTTCCACTGATTTTGTGCAACTTAAATCAGCAAGATGTGGTGACAACTCACCAAGCTGATGAAAGACAGTTATTATATCAGGTCAAGATAGTGGATCAGGAGAGAAGAAGTGGGATCAGGAGAGAACAGTAAGAATCCCCGCACAACTCCCATCTGATAACTGCTCTGTACCATTTTAGTATCTTATTTTTCAACCTGCGGTATATGCAGAGGAAATTAATTATAGATGCTGTACCTCGTTTAACCTTAGTTGTCCACTAGTTTCTCTCCCACACACACACACATATACATACACCCTTCTCGCTGCACTTTACCCTCTTTCCCACATACAAGTGCATTTAAACACAAACATCATTCTTCTTCGACAAATAAAATTTGGCTGTTAATAAGTGTAACTGAGGTTCACAATACTCGCTAAAATGGTCAAAAAAGAAAACATGAGGTAATCATGACAATTATATTGTGGAATGCTCAAAACTATTCATTTTTTGAAAGCTGTGTTGGTCATCGGATTTGAAAGGGAAGACCAAACAAAGTTCTGCAATGGCAATCTCCGATCTCGTAGATTAAAAAAATAAATAGTAGTAGATCCGGAGAGATCACTCACTTCTATAGCAAACACAATATTACTGTCCACCTCCACGTCCTCTCGCAACCGTCAAAATTCGACTCTTCTAGAACTTTCTCGTTAAATTTAACGACTCATTGTATTAATTGTATCACATACCGTAATGCAAACTTAAAATCCCGTGCTGGGATTGAAAGAATATATATGTGCGAGATGATGCGCAGATAAATGGATAATAAGGCTGGTAAGAAATCATATAGCAGTGTCACCTTTCACTATCCAAGACTGCCACTAGTCTCAGGTAGGAAAAAAAAAGATGTATTTCAAATCATCTCACTGACATAAATATACGAACAATATTTGACAGATTAGTGGTGATCGATAGTTACATCGATTTTTGCAATCTTTTTACACTATCTCAATTGAATTAGTCCACCTTACATCATAAATCTTTTGATTATTCATCTTTTTTTGTTTTTTTTTTTTTGACCGATATATTTGCTTAACTGTTTACATTTTCATCTGATAGTTAGATTGCATTAGAATGCTATGAAAGTTATTATAATGATGTCAGCAAGAATCGCCTGGTAATCCCCTGATAGTATGTACCAAGTTCCGATTTGCAGGAAGTCTGTTGCAACAAACGAAATGGTCATGTCCACTGGCCATCAATGAATCCCCAAATATGATCATTTTATATGCATATCAAAAGATACATCATCAAAGCGTGAAAGTGTAGCTTAGGAGTGCAACATATACATAGCTTTTAGAATGATAAAAAGAGTATACCAATGAATGAGTGAAAAAAGTGTGACAGAAAAGGCATAAGATAGTTATTATCCCTTCCATAGCGATAATATAATCGTAGACTTATTTCATTTATTTGGATTTAGAGATCATAAAAGCCTATCTTAATTCTCTATTATTACTTATGAGAGTGATATATGTATGTTTGAGTCCTCAATGAAATGCAAAGAAATCAAGTAGATGTTGCATTAAAAAAAAACTTTGAAACAAAGAAGCAGAAGAACATTATGATTTGTTGGTAAGAATTGACTTATCGTATACTATTTTCATTTCACTGTATTGATCTCTTTTCTCTTTTTACTAATATTGAAAAAGAAATAATCTGATACTATGGGTAAATGTAAAATAAAATTGTCATTTCAAAATATTATAGATATTTTGTCGAGCTATAATATCTAATTATATCAGACACGTTAAATAATGCAGAAATCGGAGATCGATGTTCTTACCGATGCAAAAATGGATATTGCTCTTGAAGATATTCATTTTTGTTTTTATCGTTAAAAGAATTAATTTCATCATAATCTGGTACATCGACAATCATTTTTTGATTTATCATATAACTAAAGATGATAATCGTGATTCGTAGCAGTAAATGGAACGGTAAAATCGAATGATAAAGATGATAATAATGATAAACGCGTAAGCAAGTTAAGTAAATGAATATAGCAGAGCATAAGATCACTAGAAATAATGAAAAATTACAAAAAGTGAACTAATTGAGAAGAGTGTGATAATTTCCCATAACATAAACACAAAATAAAAATGAATAAAAGAATAGGATGATAATAATATTTAAAATTTTTTTAATAACATATTAAAATAGAAATTTTGAAAATGGATGTTGCAGGCGTAATTATGGTTGTGTACATGTATTGATTAGTTATGGAAATTATCAACAGGAAAAGAATTAATGGTGGCATCTTTACAGTATTTCTCTTTTTACTACGGTATTTCTCTCTTTTTTTACTACAGAATTATGCTGCGGTTCAATTCATTCTATTCAATATATTTCTTTTCTTTTTTCTTTTTAATTCTAATGAACTTTGGTTTCGGCGAAATTTTATCAATCTCTGAAATTTCGACAGCGTTCACTAACTGTTTCATATTTTATGCTTCAGATACTCCTTCGTTCTTCATTGTTCGTTAATAAGAATATAATTTATATTTATTATTATTAATCATTCAGACATTATCATCAATTCCATTTCTCATTAATGGCTGTCACTCTTTTTTTTAACTTCATTTTTTTGTTTGTTTTAATTATTAAACATTGTTCCACTTTTTTGTTTGTTTTAATTATTAAACATTGTTTCATTTAGTGATGTTCCATGAAAGTATTACTCAGTTACATGAGTAATTTCAGAAGATGTATTTTATTGAAAGTATCATCAAATGATGATTGATGTTATCCTTATCTGACTGGACAATTGACGCAATCAATTTTATCGATAGCTCATTCAGGCTACAGACAATATTCGTAGATAATTTTTAACATTATGAGAATAATAAATTTGTAATGAGATAAGAGGAAAATTTGAAGATACGATCAATTTCATTTCGCTTTCACTGGCTTCTTGGTCTAAAATTCAGTTAAGATAAAACGGAATAGAAATTTAATAAATTTGTTTTAAAAAAAGCAAAATAAAAAATGTTGATTTCATTTTATCGACTACATAGCATTTCTGTTATTTTAACGATGACCTAATCGTAATTTCATAGACAGCATATTGCCATCATATCGATCAGAAATCTTATCGATAACTAAAAAATTTCTAACTAACCGGTGGTGGCGGTGCAACTTTACCAGCTTTACCACCTGCTGCAGCTTTACCACTTCCTGCAGCACCTTTTCGGCCGATCTTTTCGGCTTCTTTTGCTGGAACATTTTCCGTTTCATCTTCTACAGCCGCATTTTGTTCGGTCTCCTGAGCCGATATATTTTCTTCTTCTTCAACTTCATCAACATTAGGCACATGGAGCGGAATTGGTTGAATTGGTGGTTTTGCAGCATCACCATCTGCTTTCACTTGCTCTACGTATTTAGGCGGTTCCAAATTTTTACGAATCTGTTCCAGCTCTTCGTTTTCACGTCGACCCCATTCTGGTGGTGGACGAGCTGTTCCGTGGGCAATTTTTGGCGGCTTCTTAATTATCGGCTACAAAATATTACTTTAAGTAGGTCATGTCATTTACAGAAGTAGAGTACCATATTCTAAAATGCTGACTTACTTAAAATATTCATTCAAATCAATTAGTGATAAAGGAATAGAGTAATACAAGATAGGAGCATTACTTTTGTTTGGTTGAAAGTTATGAATAACAATTGAATATTTGACAACCTCTCATCTACTTCAACATAGTCCGCTAAATGGTCACCTTTATTGCAGGATGATTTAGCCCTCTCTTTTATAATATATAAGTGCAAATTAAGAAAATTAATTAATATTACATGTTCATAAAGCTCTCGCCGATCACCATATGAGCGTCTATCAATTTGACGATCGAACTTTGATACGACATTGATTTTCGGCTAAAAAGAAATTTTAAACGATTCAAATTGAGAATGAATCCTCAAATCTACAATAAAATTATTTATTTATCTATCTATTAAATCAACTATTCTCCTAATTGTTAATCAACTTACTTTTCTCTCAACTTAATTATTTCATAATTAATTCATTATTTAATTTGATTACAGCTTTAAAAATCAATAAACCGGATGTATGGAGGCAGCTGCTTCTTCAGGATCCAAACCTCTTTGTAAAGCTTTGTTGCGAGCAACCTGACGTTCACGCTCGTGCAATTCTTTCAACTGAAATTTATTTACTCATTAAAATTAGCGCTACTAATATTTTTTTTAAATCGAAAACATAAAGTTGGCTTGTATATAAAATAGCCTTACGTCATATTCCTGGCGTTCGTGTCTTTTCTCCAAATCATATTTTTCACCTTCCAATTTTACGATACGTGAATGTAATTGTTTGATTTTTTCCTTTAGATCATTTGGTAACAAATCGGCAATATTAACTGCACGACGTTGAATTGCTTCCATAAATGATTGCTTTGCTGCTCTTCTCCCTTCATCACTTATCTCTTGCTTTTGCTACAAATTTTATAAAATTTCGTATTCAAATTTAATTTATTACAAATTCAATTTGAACGATCAATTCACAAAGCTCATTAATAACCTTTGAAATGAAATAGTCTAATTAATTTTTCAAAAGAAAAAGCAGCATTCCGAAACATTATAAAAGCATTATTGAATTATTGATTTAAATTAATTCAATTGTATTTTCATCCTGCTTCCAAAAAAAAACAAACTCACAATATGAGGATTTAACTGATCGCCCTTTTCTGATTTCTGGATCACGAAATTCTTTCCACCCGCTGCTGTCCCAGCAGCGAACGAGCCAGCCATTAAATTTTGTCGCTTCTTTCTTTCTTCCTCTCGTCGTTGCTTTTCCGCTTCAATGCGTGCTTTGCTTTCTTCCTTAAAATATTAGTAAAAAATTAATTAATCTCTCACATACAGTAAACCACTTGAAAAATTATAGCTTAGGAGGAATAATTCAAGAAAACAGATTTAATTCGATATATCGTAATTTTATGTAAAAAACAACAATAATCGTAGATATCGGAATCATTCGGGGCTACAAGACACTTTATAATTTTAATAACTGCAATCACTATGATCCGAAATGCCATTTTCTGGGATCCATAACGGTGTGATAATAGAATTTCAGGCATTATTGTAATTACGGGAAAAATGTTACCTCCTCCTGACGTCGTTTTTCATCATTTTGGCGTTGCCTTTCCGCGAATTCACGTTCCTCTTGTTCACGTTGTTGCCTTCTTTGTTCCTGTTTTTCCTTCAATGCTCGTAACTCTTCTTCGATCTTTTCTTTCTCCACTCGTCGTCGTTCTTCGTAATCTTGAATTTTAGCTGCTTCTTCCTCCTGATGCCTCTTTTTGGCAGCCCAAAATAAAAATAAATATATGTATTTTATTATTTATTATGAATTTATTATGAAGTATCATAATAAATTCATAATAAATTATGAAGTATTATGAAATTATGAAGTATTATGAAGTATTATTATGAAGTAATTTATTATGAAGTATTTATTATGAAGTATTATGAAGTATATTTATTATGAATTTATTATGAAGTATTATTATGAAGTATGAATTTATTATAATTTATTATTATGAATTTATTATGAAATATCATTTATTATGAAGTATCGATTTGATCTGAACATCAAACTAAAATTGAAATCTTATGAAGTAAATTGGATAGATTCGAAATTTGTCTCATCTTCATCAAGGATAGTAATTTTATGAATGATTAATAAAATTGAAGTAGTGGTTTACAAGCATAGCTATTTCAGCTTCCGTTTGTTCAGCCGGTGTATCATCCTTTTCTTGATGTGGTGCACGTCTTAAACTGAAATGTGTTTGTAGAATTAACTCTCTGTGCCATATAGTTTTTATAATTCATTGATTGATGATTAGAGGAATAAATATATTACAAGATTTCCTCTGTAGAAGCCCCCAAATTTAATAAGCTTTTTTTGAAACGGTCAGCTAAACTGAGACAAAAAAACAACATAATCTCTAATATCTGATATATAATAAATAAACAATCATCCGATAATCAAATTAATCATTTTGAAAATAGTTTAGAGTGAAATTAAACCATAAGATTTAAAGTTTCAATTTTTTCTGATTTAGGAAAAGAAGTTTATTCATTACAGTATTCAATCAGTCCAGAATTCTACCGTTTAGCAATTCATGAAATTGCCTAGGAAATTGTTAGGAAATTCATAAATGGAAAGCAAGAATATAAAAATTTCATTAAAAACTTTCTTGAAAATTTTAAACATTAACTTACTGTGGTGTAGCTTCCGGTTTTTCAGTAGGCGCTTCATCATCCGCAGGTGGCGCAGGTGACGATGCATCTACTTCAACTGCCGCATCTTCTTCTTCTTCTTCCACCTCTTCGTCTTCTTCCTCCTCCTCAGTGCTACAATAATTTTTTGTACGAGTTAAGGCATTTAATTAAAATTTAAAAAGTAAAAGTTAAAATGTTTGATTTAATAAATAATTATATTATTACAGTAAGAAAAAAAAAGATGAAACATACATCTCTTCTTCTTCTTCTGCCATCTTCTCTGTTCAGCTTTATTTTAATGGATTAAACAAGCTGTAAAATTATACAAAAGAAGATATTACTATTAATATAGATGTCATACAATAATACTTAAAATGAAATTAAATTATTAAATAAGACAATGAAGTTTTTTAATAGGTATAGTTGAAGTTAAATAAACAAAAAACTTTCTATTCTAGGATTTGGGATTAAAGTTCAAGTCTTGAAAAGTTAAAAAAAGAAGATACATTTTACTTTCCCTTCTTACTTTGAAATGAACTCTAATCTAACTTTACAAATAACTCCAATTTTAATTGATTGCGAGAAATATCGGACGGATAGAATTTGAAAAATCATATTACAGGTTAATTTTAGGTAAATTAAAATATATACATAAATATTAATAAAATTAGGATGAGAATTGTAAGCATTAAATCTAACTTAAAAAAACATATTATTAGCACAAATTTACAAATAGCAAAAATAATCTCTTCGGTTTCACCAACACTTGCCAATGAAGAAAAATTAAGAATGATGAGGATTGTTTGGCAAAGCTAAAGCTCTTAAGAACGGGAGTTTTTGTTGGAAAGGAACGAAAGCGGGGTGTCTTGTCTGCCAGTTCTATATATATGAATACATATGTATATCTGTATAAATATTTATATATATGTGTGTGTGTGTATGCGTGTGTGTGTGTGTGTGTGTGTGTGTGTATGTGATCTTGAACTTCCGAGAAGAGTGCATAGGTTTGTTGGTTAAGAAGCCTGAGGGTACAAAACACAGCTGCTTCTTCATCGATACATCTCAGATGATTTCATCATTCTCAACACAATCTAGCAATATGTTATGCAATCTATTCGTGCTGTTTGCATCACTAATAGTAATAGTAATAAATTTATACATTATTTCATGTTTAAAACAAACGATAGAAAAAGATTGTTAGTGTATATGCGTGCATTATATGCATGCGCGTGTAATATACTGCATGAATATGCTGCAAGTTTAGAAGAAATAATTACTCTCATAACACTAACCAACAAAAACAAAAAATACTTCAGTTTACTTTCGAGTAACAGATCAAAAATGCTCTTATCACTATCACTCTAATCTATCTAAGAAGCTGTTAGCAAGAAAAAAAAGACTGATATCGTTCAACAGAAAATAGATGCACTCTCCTCCACCCATTCAGTTAAACTGAGAAACTAAAACTGATATTTCAAAATGAAAATACTACTTACAATGATAATGTAGGAAAAAAACAACTAAACAGCTAATAATGATAAGTCATTGATTATCTTTTGTGCTTAAAAGATAATATTATCATTATCATGTCTGAAAACATCAATATGACTATAATGAAATTGTATCAAATCAAATAAATAAAGAAGGCAATCTTCTCTTTTTTCTTTGCTACCAACTAGCAATCCAATCTAAACATTATAAGGATAATGTAAAACTTTTTTAGATTATTAAATTATAATATTCAAGTTCAGTTAATTATGCAAGAGAGTTTTAAATATTCTGCATTAAGCTATACTCATTCCCTTGAAATCAGCTTGCACAATATCAGAATTTCGCAAAAGATTTCTTGTTTTCAAAAATTTCAAAATTTTCATTAATGATTTTTATCGAAATCAATTCGCATTTAATTCAGTTGTGATGGATTATCACGATTTACCGTTTTCGAAGATTTCTTCAAATTTTTAATTGACCAAAATTAATTTAATGAGAGATCGCAGAGGAAGAAAATCTAATTCTTCCTTCTTCTATCTGCAATACATCGTGGGTGTGTATGTGTGTGTGTGTATGTGTGTTGGATAAACTCATGCCAGCTGTTTCACTTCAAGCTTTTCTTATTTCAATAAAGTTACACTCTTTCTTTCATTCGAAAGAATTTGCTATCTGCAAGGGAATAATGTATTATCTAAAAATTAGAGGACAAGAAAAAAGTGACATTTTTTTAATTTTTAATACTTAAAAATGGCAACAGAAATGCAGTACATTTAAAAGCTTTTCAACATTTCAATCTCTTCATTTACATCGTTGAAACTCACAAAGTTATCCGTCGATATCCTAACCTAACAGAAGAGACTGTCATTGCTTCTTTTAAACTGCTGTATCAGAACAAGTTTTCTCATTCCAACCATGTGCCCTATCATATTTGATTGGCCTAAAATCTCTTTTTCTCTTGCAAATTACAACATTTTTTGCGATTTCTAGGAATTGTACTCTTCTCCATCACAGTTATCATATCTGAAAACACCCACTCACCATTCTATAATGAAGCGGTTGAGCTGTCCCGTGTAGCAGTTTGCATTTGATTTAAATTATAAAATGACTCAATTGTCGCTATCACAGTTCACAACTATTTTCTCAACAGCTAACATTCAATGATTCGTTGAATCTGATTACTGATACAAGAAGTGGAAAGAATTTCCAGATCAGATCATCACTGATTTCGAATCTTATAGTTGACGAAATTTCTGCTTCATAATTTACAAAGTCGAGAATAAAATTTAAGTGCTGCTTTAAGCTAAATTCAAGCAAAATTTTAACTTGCCATAGATATGAATCAAAATTTAAATTTCCGACGCACCATTAGAGAGAGAGCGCAAGAAGAAAATGTACTCATTTCATAAATTCATAATTTTACCGAACTTCTAAAGTATCAAACTTCATGTCACACCATGCTCTCGGCATGTTGCTTTGGAGTAGAGAATATTGACGAATCTGACGAATATCTTTTCATTTAATGAATTCCAAGAAGGAAAATATTTCCTAATCTAAATTGAGAGACAATTATTCTCTTACTGACTAAAATGATTTTACAATGAAACATTATAGAAAAATTTTTCCAATAGAATTACATCTTGCTCGGCTCATTTTTAGGCATTCACTCTTTCACCGAAAAAACGTCGAATGAGGATTTTCGAAAAAACCGAACAAAATAAAAAGAATACGTGTAATGCAAGACTCGCTGATTATCAGTAAACCGAATGGCACTATCATAAGCAAAACATCCACGAGGAAGTACTGGAAAATGTTTAGCTCAGAACCAGCAGTGTTAAAGTTGTCGAATGGACCATATTTTATAACGAATTCAGTGTATCGTATGACCCGTTCCCTAGCAGATACTGGCTTATGCCTTATCATTTTTTTCAGTTTCTGCGCACTTTTCCGGTAACTGAAAAAAGATATAAATAAACGACTGTTTTTGAGTATCAGTATCATATTATTGATTGGTAAAAATATCTGATTTACTAGAAGAGAGGGAGAGAGGAATTTCTAGCAAGAAGAGGACTAAAGCTGAAGGACAATTACATGCGTTGATATGAAAATATTAACTTATTTATCTTTCTTCATTGATGATAGTTTTAAGTGAAGAAGATAAGCCAACTGCTGTAAGATTTTCTCTATTCAAGATAACCGCTGCATTTCCATTCTTTGCCATCGTAGCATTTCTAAATTGATCAGCAAACAGTGGTATACAAATGAGTGGTACTCCAGCACTGATACTTTCCATGAGACTATTTTGACCGCAGTGAGATGTAAAAGCCAAAAGCTTGTAATGATCTGTAACTTTTCATGAAGTAGTAATTGAGTTTTGGGACATTAGAATGATGGAAATTTGGCTCTGATTTAACGTTGTTTGAAGCGATGATTTCTGCGTTGGAAAAAATCAGACGATGTTCGCAATATTTTCACACAGCATATCGGAATGTATAGTTAATAAAAGGAAAAGTTTAACAAGAGGAAACTCATTGAGAAGATCGTTCTGCGATACCCATTTCCTTTTAATGACGTTATGAAGATGTACATCTCCTCTTTCTTCATTTTCATATTTCCATTTGAAAATGATCTAAACGTAATTTCATTTTTCATTCAACAACTAATGCTACTTACTATTATTACTCCATGCATTTTCCTTTTTAGTAATGATGCATCATTTATATTCTGATTTTATCTTAAGGATATTAATAAACTTTATTAATATCCTTAATAAATTTTAATTGATCGATCCCGAACTGTATTATTGAAATGAAAAATTTGTGACACTTCAAGATCCAATTCCGAAGTAAGTTAGATGAAGAGTACCTCAGATAATTGTCGGAATGCATCTTCGAATACCTTTTTCACATTACTATCCATGGCTTTGCTTTTCACTATAGTCCCAAAGATACTAAAATCCAGAATGATCCATAATTTGTCGATAATCCTGGATTAAATTTAGTATGATTCGCATGATTGGTTCCACGCCATCCGCTTATATTACATTTCTCAATGAGCGGTGAAGCTTCCGAAACAGCTATTCCGCCAACAAATACAATTTTACGACTGACCAGACGGGGAAATTCTATCAATTCTTCGGCGTTGACAAAGACGAACGAGCTTTCTTTCACTGCTCCCTTAATAATTTCATAATACTGTTTGTTCCACCTTCTATTTTCCGTTAGAATTCGACGTTAATTTTAGCGTTAATTTTAGGAATAAAATAATGTTTCATAAAATATAAGCACAATATTTTCTGACCAACAAGTGGCAGCTACAAATATTTCTAGAGCACAGAAACAAAGTAGTACATCAAGACATATTTCCGAGAGCTTCAATTATACCAGTCGATTCGAATCACCGAGATTTTTGCAGGAAGAACATTTTGACAGATTGATATAAATAGAATTGATGTTGTCCTATGATGACTCTTTCAAATCATCATAGGACAACATCAATTCTATTTTCGTCTACATCTTATTAAATTAACGGGAAAAGATAAGGTACATAATTTATAGAAACATACACTATAGTCGAATTTATTGGGTAAATGATATTGGAGACTTTGAGCTGTTGGTTCCCAAATAAGCTTTGTTAGACCATAAGTTATTATATACATGATAACATTTGTCAGTAGTCTATCAAGATAATTCATTTTATCTGATTTGAAAGCGAAACCAGCTGAAACGAAAGATAAATCAATGAAAGTGCTACTGAAAATTTAATCTTGGAGGTCACAGGTTTATTTAAAATTTAGTCCAAAGTCGTAGAGTTTTCCTGACGCACTGCACTGAATGATTGCCGAATCTTACTCGGGGTATCAAAAAGAGGAAATGTATGAGAACAAACCGGGCACATAGCTCGGATTAAAGCTTACACCAAAGATATCGCTGATCGCTTCTAACAAATTAACTGCTCTTGTCGTAATATGATTATTGAGACCGATCCTATTGAAAATGGCATATACGCAGAAACAGATCTGTTCGGTGATACCCAAATCGTACTATTCTGTTTGTAATAATCCCATTAGCTCATCGTCTTCCAGATGCTCTCAACATTCATTTTCCTTTATCGAGAAGAATGCGAAGATAACTTCAATCAATGAATTAATCTGTCGGAATGATAAAATTGCGATAGTTTAAAATTTACTTTGACATGTTATTCTCTGTGCGTCGACCAGTTGTTTGTAATACTAGAAAATAAAATCACTGAAAACAAGAACCATAGATAAACATGTTTGTACAGAAATCTGGCTGTCTATTTATTATGTCAAATGCATTATTTGCATGGGAAGCGCAGAATTACATTACTCCTATTCATTCTGAAGTCTCTGATAACATAAACTAAAAACCCGGTAGACTTCCAGAATACTGTTACCCTTCTTCTTCCACATGTTGTTCAATGAACTTTTCTCGAAGTATTGATTGTTTGGAAATTTCTTTCGTATTATTTTTGCCAATTTGGAATCATTATTTGATATATCTGGATTTAAATCCGGCACAAAAACAGTCTGCAAAATGGGCAAAGACTTAACCATTAGAGAGACCTTAAAATAAATCTCGAAACTTGGAAGTATTGTTTATAGTTTTCGGCTTTGATTCATAATTGGATTTCAAATTGATGTGATGGAAAAACAAAAGTACGTACAAAATACTTAACTTCTTATACAGCAAAGTTTAAACTTTTCTTTGACGCAATTGTGTATTTCTCACAAAATTTCATGGAGAACGTACTATGTCATGACCAGCTTATGCCAGAATATCTGCTATTTTTCCCATAAAATTGGCATGGCTGTGACCCAGGCGTGGTGAGAATACCAAAATTTTGTATGAAAAGTAGATTCCAACAGTATTAGAAATAATGCCATATATAAATTCATCTTGAATTTAGATTTGCCGGACCAAATGGTATTTCCTATGGAAATATTTGTGGAAAATACAAAAATGATGAAATCAAATGCACCGCTTAATAAATTCATATTCCACAAAAAACTTTGATTATGTGATGCTATTAATAAATGATTGCAACACATTAATTATATTTTCTATAATTGTTTCTCGAAAAGATAAGGTTTCTGTTATAAACTATTCCACAGAAATTTCTCGTCAACAGTGATTCTGACAGTCATCAATTGCACTTGAAATTAATCAATACTGAGTAATGCACAGTAATGAGATCAACTATTCTACTATAAACTATTCTATTATAAATTCAAGCAGAAAATAATGTCTGTCATACATTAAAATATTAAATATAAGAAGAAGTGAACGATAATTGGTCATAAAGTAAAACTCATCGCAGTTATGTAGAAATAAGAAAGGGCAGAAATGCAAGGATTGAAAAATATTGAAAAAACATTTCAAAAATTTGAAGGTAAACTATGAGTGTTATCTTGTAAACCAAGCAACTAAAATTATTTTTGTATGTAATCAGGTAGCAGCTAATCAAATAAAAAGTTTGATGGACAACAAATGCCTGATTTTTAGAAAGTTGGTCGGCATTTTAGTTTGTAGGACTTGCATAACCTCCAGACAATATAATGCAGTTGGCTGGAGAATTGACGAAGAATGGAAAATATTTTAGTGTCGACGTGAAACAAATTCAGGTGAAGAACGTAATTTCAAGACCAGTTTTGGAATGTTTCCGCCTCACAACAGTTACATCAAATTACTGTGCAGTTCTTTTTGATATCTAATTTCAATGTAAACAGATGGGAGCTTCAAAATAGAAACTCACATTGTGCTAAATGAAGGATAAAAGAAATATTCAGCCGTTAATAGATTTTCATTACTTGAAGGATATCCTAAAAAATAGGCAGAAAAAATTCAGAGTGCTATTTATCTTACCAGAACATTTTCTATCTACTGCTCTCTAATCAACACTAAGAACTTCTTGCCAGATCATGCAACTCATCAAGTCTCAATTCTCGAGATTTTTTTCTATCTAATGTTTTAGCAATTGAGAGCTTGATACGCGTACGTAAAATGACATGCAACAATTGGTAATTTTTTACAAGTATTTTATTTTTGTTTCTAGAAACATCAATTATAAAGATTTATATCATTAAAAAGATACAGAATTTAGTTATAGAACATCGAGCTGACGAACACCTTTTATTCTTTTGTAGATTTTCAAAAAGGCAAAAATTACCGGTTGAAATAGCAGGACAATGACTTTTCAAGTGTTTTCATGGCCAAAAAACCTCAGGTATTTTCATTCAAGTCTTTCCATGGTCCAAAAAAGGAAAACATACAAAACCTCCACTAAATAGAGAACGCCGATTTAAAATTAAAACAAGAAAAATGTATTGCTGCTATTGGAGAGAGAAAATATATTTACCTCACTCTGTTGCGAAACAAAACATCATATTAATTTTTCGTAATTTCTAAATAGTCAATCACACAGCTCACTATATAAAAAGGAAAAAGCTATTGATCTGAAAAGGAATATATAACCAACAATCATAATATGTGATCGCCGAAACATAAATATCGACAAGTCTGCGGAGTAAATCATGATTACTCCAACAAATTACTGCGGAGGCTGCGTACCATTTTCATGCGGTCCATTCCTATCACTTTCATTGTTAGAACCTCCTGAAGATCAGCCTTGCCGGCAATTTGGATATTAAGAACAATACAAGCGCTTATGAACATAAAGAAATGCCGTTTAATTTCGTAATTAAAGAAAAAAAGGAGACTAAAGGATGGAAGCAGCCCATTTATTAAATAGATGTAAATGGCAAATATAACACTACCTTGGCCCTGGAATTGTTGCCTCAGTTGTTCAACCAAATCTGGATTAGCACTTTGCATTTGTTGAGCTAACTAAAAGTGAGCAAAATAATGACATACGGGTAGACAACACGATGTTCGCGCAATGAAAATGACATCCCAAAACCGATCAGAAAAGACTATTCAGTCTAGTCAAATCTTGGAAGCACTACCTATTTTCACTCAGTATAAACGAAAACTACCTGTTGGCCGGCTTCAATAAGATTAGAAACGCCAGCGTTTGACCCACTGCCAAGAATACCGGTCATCATTTGTGACATCATGTTCTGAATGTTCGGGTCCGACATCAACTGTCTGGCCATGTTCATCATCGCTGGATTATTCAGCAGTGCAGTCATGTCAGGCATCTGGGAACCAAACAACTAAAATAGAAGAAAAAGACAGCAGAACTTGTCATCTTTGAACTAAACATTTTGAAAAGAACGGCAGAACATACCCCAGGACCTTGTCCCTGCCTAAATGATTCTTCCAGCTCTTTCAGCTTATCTTCAGCAATTTTCAAATTGTTTTTGTAGCTTTCTTGTTCGGGATCCAGCTCCAGTGCTTTTTTATATGCCTCTACAGCTTGTTCATAACGATTCTGGCAAGACAGTGCCAACCTAAAAAAATAAGCGAATTTCCACTTATCCAACTACTATATTCATATTCAGATTGTATGATTGAAGCAACAATGTTAAATTTTACCCCATTCGTCCGTAGGCTTTACTATATTTTGGATCCAAAGCCAGTGCAGCACGACAATCTTGTATTGCCAGATCATATTGTTCCAGCCGACAGTAAGCTGCTGCTCTGGAATACATGATAAACTTTTTAAGAAAGAAACTACAAAAAACTTTGGGGTTCCAATCCAATACGTTTTCTAAAATCTAAACTAGAAAAAATGCTCAGAAGTTTTAATGCTTTTTTTCTTAAAACATTTACAAATTTTCTAATTACGCCAGCTTCAACCAGATTGTTAATAAATTGCATATTTCCATCTATTTAAAGACAAGTGAAGTACGGCATTATTTCTAGATCTACCGATTACAAAAGTAAGCCGGATCTTTGTTCAGTTTGATAGCTTCATTGTACTTTAACACAGCATCTTCAAATTGCGAGGATTTCATCAGTGCATTCCCTTCTTCCTTTAAATTATTCGCTATTTTGATTTCTTCCGCAGTTGGTTCCGGGAAATCACCAATTCCCTGAAAATTAATATCACATCTTTCGTTGAAAGCTTTATGCCTGCTTCTAAAGAATCTGGGTTAGACAAATAAGAGCATAACTTATTTTTAACTGCATGGCAGTTGAAAAAAAAAGAATCATCAGGCTCTTAATAATTTAGCATAAATCAACTAAATTATTAAGAGCCTGATGATTCTTCTTTTATTACAATTGATTAGGAAAAAAGGCATACGGTAGGAAGACCCTCAGCTGCAACGAAGATATCCAAAAGAGGTTTCGATGGTTGAAACAAGTAGCTAGAATCGGTTATATCGAATGCTGTTTCAAGGCACTGAATAGCCACTGAAAAAACTTTTTCCTATAAAATTTAATTGGGATCAGTGTGCAGATATACATAACCATTAATTCCTCCAAGCTAGCAACACCTTGTGAGATATATACTTGACCGAATGACAGTTAGGAAATTGACCGGCTGTAATGGGAAAACTATCAGTATAACCACTCTAAGACACAGAAATGAAATTTTGTAATGAACACAACGCCCGGATACTATGTGTTAGCATTTTAACATGATCAAAACAGTGGCTCTGCAGTGGGCTTTGCTAAGAGCACTGTTTGCTTTGATCATGCTAACAACTGCATCATTAAAGATAAAGTCTAATGAAATTAACGCAATAATAACCTTCAATCCCTTCCACCTGGTCAGTTGTACATTGTTCACGTGAAATACGTTGACGCAAGAACTGGATGAATGAAACGACAAGATTCTTTTCATCACTGATATCTTGCTTCTTGTGACTCGATTCCGGATTACTCGATGTTGCATCTGCTGACTCATTCATTTTCGTAGTTTTATATTCTCTTATACACTATAATCCCCAAAATCTTAAAACATTTCTAATATAGTATATGGCCTCATTTTTGAGGATCTGAAACAATGTCCTTTAAAATCTAGACACATAGAACGTTTCTATTGATTTCTATATTGTTTCCTTAGTAAGGAAAATCAATCCAGTTAAATTCTCTAAAAAATTTTGCAGATCATATTTAAATCACATTAGGAAAAAGCATCAAAGGGGAGAAAAACGAGAGAGACTACAATTAGCAATATTACATATAATATCTCACTCAAACCGAAAATTGCACGTGAGTACACGTAACGCACACACGTAATCAGCACATCCAATCTACCCACACACATGATCAGCACACCCAATCTACCCACCCGCCTATTGTCAGCCAACCTACACGAGTGATGAATTTAACATTCAATGCAACTGCTACATCTCACTGATGCTCGATTGGATGCAAAGAATGAAGCGCTTTCAAACAAAGTAGTGATTTGGGATTCCTGCGTGAAATAACGTCTGGAAGAAGTAATCTCCAGATTACAAGAGCACTATCTCAAGAAAGAGTATTCTCTATTCATTTAATAATGGAGTAGAGATCAGCTGCACATCATCTCCCATAATTTCACCTATCTCAATAACTTGTTCACCATGATCGTAATGAATTGGAATACATTCAACATAATATTATACCTAGGCGAACTTACTCTGCCAACTCATTACGCATATTGTGTCCGTCTTTTCTTTCTAACAAACTAAGAAACTAGCTTTTCTCCTCTCTTCCTTTTAAGAGGAAGAAGCTGTAATTTTAACAAACTGAAAATTCAACTGCATTGGATATGCAGTTTGTAGATTTATCAGAAATTTATATACCAATATAGATGTTTTACGTAAAATACCATCACAATTATTACATGATTACATTTTATACACTTATCACAATGAAAAGATGAACTAGAGATGTAGAAAACTACTCAGTCGTAACATAAAGCTTCGGTTTTTGACCTGACTTGAAGATGTTGTTTATAGGTTCAAGATGGAAATAATACTGCAAATTTCCTGCACTTTGAAAGTTTTGTATACGACTGCGTAATTTGACATTAGTTCCATTTTTATACAGTAATTGGATTCTTTTCATTATTGGCTTTATTGTCAGCCCATCTTCTTGAATATAAATAAAACAAATGATGGAGCATTGGATATTATGTTGTCACTCTACAGCTATATTCAAATATGCAGTTACACGTGAAATCTTTTTGCCTGGAGATTTCTTACACAGAAAACTGGAAACTTGGTTTATGAAAAGTGAAAGATGCAATTGAAGTCCTTTGTATTTTGTTTGTAAGTCTAAAACCCCTAAATTTAAGACTTTTCAAGATGATATTAAAAAACAAAAGATTCAGGTAATTTTAGTTCGAAAATATTTTTCGGTTTATTGTAACATCCGCATTCATTTATACGACTTGCATCGTCATTTCGTTGAAGCAATCGTTTCACAGTTCGCGATAAGTCAACTTCTTCACGTTCCTGATTCATTTCTTCTACAAGTTTATTGAAGTCCTGGGTCCGAAACTTATCCAAAATTCTTTGCGTCCGGTTCTGTAAAAGAACCATATTGAAATTAAGTTTGAGCAAGGTACGGGCAGTGTTCACTATTACTGATTTCATTAATGGTCTTAGTATTATTTTCAATTTCCTTTAACCAACATGACTTAGTTGTTACAAAGTTGCTAATGCTTTTTATGGCACTGAGTATGGATTCGGTTTTTTTTTACATTGTTGTGACATTGTGAAGCTTCATGTTAAGCTTCAAACAAAATTCACAAAAACGTGGAAGGAACGCATAAATAATATGTACCTGCTCCATTTTTTTTTGTTCACTCGGATCGATTAACATATTTATGTTTTTACGCAGTTCATTAACAGTGGTTGGAGGAGTATCCGATTCTGCAGTAGTACTGACATTGAGAACTAATTTCAGTGAAGAAAACAGATGAATGATAAAAACTAGAATTTTGAGTCTTTACTATAGTTGTTTCACATTGGTGTGTGCTTTAAAAAAAAACTTTAAAAGCACGGAACTCTCTTGTGTCATTCTTTTGTCAAATTTTGTTAATCAATCCTTTATACAAGGAAATAAACTAAAATGCAATATCTTCTTTTGAAGTTAGAAATTCTTACTTTCTGTTGATGAAAAAAGTGTATTTTTACGAGAAGTTTGTGCAGATTCAGATTGATTCCAATCAATGCTTATATCAATCGAAATTGTATTTTCGTCAATTCCACTAGTATCTGTTCCATCAATGTTGTTCATTTTTTCATATTCTCTGAATGGCCAGTCCCTACTTATTATCATATCGCCCGATGCTGATGGCGCTAACGTTGCGTCCTTCGAAACAAATGGTACCATCAGGTTCTTCACATCCTTACCAGTAGCCTAAAATAATGTAAGGAAAAGTCAGCAATAATACAAGAAACTCCAAAGTATATTTTCAAAGTTTCAAGCACCCAAAGTCTCGTGAAAACAAAAGACCGACATGTCCATAACAAAAAGACAAAAAAAAGTATAAGAAATAACTGCAAAAATTCAATATTCGTTTTTCTACCTTCAGCATTTCACTGACATCATTGATATCGAAAAGAATTGTTGCATCTTCTTCAAGACAAAGTGCCGCTTGTTCTTCATCGTCATCACATGCAAGCGGTGCCTTCTTGGGGCTGCTTTTACCAGATTGTAACTCCGATAAAAGGTTCAGTAACGGATGGGCTCGTAACGCCCGCTGTTTCACAATCTAAACCAAGTGATTTTTTTTAATTACTTTTTGAGTTCTTATCTCAAAGATATTTTGGGACAGAAATGCGAAATTATAGCTTCTCCGAGATTTATTGGCGCAGAAGCGTTTCATCGGCTCCAACTAATATTCAGAGTAAAACTCTTGCGCATCCCGCTTTCACTACGATTGAAGCATATGCAATATACTCTCTCAGAAATTTAGAAAGCGAAAACTACATGAATTCGCCAGACATGGAACATCTTTAATCCAGAAAATATTTTTGCCTAAATTTTTCACTGATTCATAGATTTTTCAGATCCGAAAATCTACAACAGTTTTGTTTTATGCAAATATCGGTTATAAGCTGAAGTTTTTTGAGATTTTGATGCGGATTCCTCAAATTATAAATTACTTGCTGAACATGCTGACAAAGAGATGGTATGGCCATCAGCTGACTGCTAAAGTTAAGATATTTTGCCACCAAATTATGGATAGCTATACGCTTCGCACCACTGAAATGAAACGACGATTCCAGTGCCATTGATTGTAGCGCAAAAGACAACCGGAATAATTGTATCAACATCTAAATCACCTCTCCATCATATTTGAAACAATACTCTGTTTCATGTAATAAACAGTCATCTACTTAATTACAGACTTCTCCGTCATCAAAAATGTCTTTAATGCAACCCAACAAATACTATTTTCTAATGTATATTTTGTTTTTAACCAAGAAATTAGAAAAACACTCTATCTAAGTAAATAAATCAGTGAAATTTAAGCAATAAACTATGAAAATAATGAGGAGAGAACTTACTTCATCAAAACCAACTTCGATGCATAGTAAAGCCATTGTGCAAAGGATTGCATCCATATGTTCTCCTTGCGTCTCATCTTCAGGCACCATCCAAACACACCTGTAAGTTTTTCTGTCGTAAAAAAATATTTTCGAATTTTTGCTACATCCAGTTGTAAATGCAATGTTCCAGGCAGTTAGGAAATAAAAAAATCGAACGAACCGAATATTTAAGACCTGCTAATGCAGCCTACATATATACTTACCTATAAAGAGCATTAAGTAAATGCGGTGCATAATTTCGCATGATCATTTCATCCGACCGACTACATTTCTCGAAGGTTAATTGCAAATCAGTAACATCGTTGACATAAGGTAAATGTCGTAATACTGACAAATTATCATGTCTGTAAGTAGATGTTATGACTCTATCTTTTTCCAAGATAAGCTTCTGATGAATTTAAGAATTCAAAAAAATATAAATTCTTTTCACACATTGTAAATAATGTAACTCTGCTACAAAGTTTGATAATACAGAAGTAAAAGCATGAAAATGTCCGTAGTTCGTATTTTGCATTCAACGTTGCAAAGAATGGTGAGATTACATAATTCGAAATGAAATCAACCATTTAAACAATATGCAAAGTAAGAAAACATTAAAAATCTAAACCTGTCAAGTAAGGTATGGAAAATGCACTGCGTATCTAAGCGAACGATAGGATCACTAGTTAAAGCTAATCGCAACAATGTGTTTGGGAAATTATTACCAAATATTGTTGACATAAAACCTGTTCGGTATTTTGTTGCCACCTGTAAATCAAACTTTTACAAGTAAATAATTGTAAATTTCAAAGCGGCATGAAAACATAATGAGGAGATACAAATTACAATAATAAAATTAAAACCAATTTCGATATTTAAAACTGGAAGACATACCTTCAAGAGTGTTTTTACAAGTATATGCTGCAGAAAAATATCACTCGGTTTTAACGATTGACTATCTTTTCCAAGGTTTGGTATGTTAGCGGATATAAAAAGCATGATTTCCACCTAGAATTTGCAAATAAAATATCATGTAATCTCGACAGAATTTTGCAACATTAACAAATGTTTTGAATTCAGACTTTTCACAGCTTTTAGTGAAAAACGCCATTTGTAATTTAACTTCAAACAGTTGTAAATAAATATATCTCGAATATGTGAAGAATTAAAAAGTAATATAATATAAAATGGGCCGGCAGTGACACTTTACAAACAAATATTTTTTACAGGGCATGTAAACAACAGACTCAATTACTTTCTGGTAGTCGGGTAATGCGTAAGCATAGTCACCCATAGCATTAATCAATGATTCCTGGTATATTTTCTCCTGATCAATCGAAGGGCATTCTTCGGTTTGTTGAAATTCAACAGATCGACGTAGGTGCTTCAGTAAAGAATTGAATATACCTGAACTGATATCTATTACAGCTACAAAAGTGAAAATATAAACAACTTCCAAGATTTCTTTTGCTCGTGACTGCTTTTCTATTTTTTATTATTGCCAATGGTGCACATCTTCATTGATGTTACAGTCCAAATCACGATATGCAAAAACTTTGCATAAAATGGTATCAATTTCTTTAAGAAAAGAAAATCATTGAAAAGTTATGAAATATGCGCCCTGTGACTGGAAGATTGCAGCTAATGTTGACTTTTCATCATTTATTGATATACGGTTTTCCAATCCGCATTTAGTACAAAGTTTAATACTTAAACGGATATCCAAAAATTCGTTAATATATTTGCCTTCAGCACCTACCGTTTCCTACGTTCTCAACATTTTTTAAATATAAATTGGAAGCCACTTGGGCCGATCCATTTGTTAGGAGTTTTTACTTCATTCCGCAAAAGTTTGTTTGAATTTAAAATTTTTGACTTGACTAATCTTTTTTGAGCTTTGAAAAGAACACTAAAAATTTTAAACAAACAAAAAATCAATCCAAAATATCAACTTATCAATCTAAAGACTATTTTTGTCATTACACTTACCTATTAAAGATGGTCCAATACTAGTACCGGCAATGGAAACAATGCTTGATAAAACCGTCGCAATGCCAATGCGTACAGATGCATTCGAATTTGACATATTTTCCAAATGAGTTATTAAAGCCTAAAAATATTAAAGTAGAGCAAAACCGAATCATTTAATGTGTGAGCTAAATCAGAAATGAGTTAAAATAGAATAGATATTAAGACATTTATATTCAAAAAACATTAGCTATACATTTAAAACTAACCAACTAATGATAAAAACTTTAAAAAAGTTGAAAAATTACTTGAATGACAAAACTCGGATCTTTAACACTATACATAATAGCACGGAATGTGTAAATGGCGAATATAGGCGGAGGCTCCCACTTCGTATGTAAATCACAATGTTTCAGAACTGGATCCAAAACAGAAACCAAGCCGAAAGGTGCCTTTGCCATCAGTTCTCTGCAGGATTTTGAGCAAGAAATTTTGAAGCAAAAATCCACCTTAATTTCTTCACCAACATATGAATTAAACACCTTACTAATGCATCATTGCATACAATGTAAACTTTTAAATAACAATAAGTTTGATTTAGAAGCTGTAAATCGGCAACCAACTGCTACTAACAAAACAGAACTTATTTTAATATTACAGCCACTATGTCCACATGAAATATGAAAGTATTCAGCAAAAAACACTTAGAGGAACTTAATGTGAACGAAGATGGTCTAAAAGTATAAATAAACATACCGTATAAACTGATCAGCAAGCGCCCTTGGGCTTTCCGCTACACCGTCCATTGCATAGGGTTGATCAATTACTGAGAAGAGATTCCTTTTTTCCTTTGATTCGTCTAAAACATTAAAATAAACAAATAACAGGCAGCCATTGCCCACATGAAAAATGTGCGAATAAGATTGCGAGATTTGGAAAAACTAATATTTTTCTACGACTTTCATGAGTCCGATGAAATCTTTAATAAGATCCTCATAAACTTTCACTATCCAAACATCATTCGAACCATTGCTATGTAAAAGTCAAAAGAAAGAAAAAGAAAAGGAACACAATTATATGAAAATATTTACCAGAATCATCCTCTTGAAGATTAAAAAGAATCGAAGGTATAATTTTGTCCATATATTGTCTTTCCCATATATTAGTTTGCAGTGGATCGGTCGTTGATTTCCACATAACGCCTACAACAAACTTAAAAGTTAATGAAGAGTTCAAAATTTTAAATTTAACTCGCCCTCGCTAGCTTTAAAATAAAATTGTTGAAATTTGAGTCAAATTAAACTACCTCTTAAGCCACGTAAACCTGCATATCGTGCATCTTTTGAAATTCCACTGTTATTTGAATGACACATTGATGCAAATTTAGAAATGAAGAAGTCATACTCTCGATGGTAAGCGGGAGTGTTTTCTTCGATGTTCGCAAAGTTCACGAACGAATCTGTAGCCAGTTTCTGGAAAAGTCGGAAATTTGATTTTATAAATCTAACCAAAATTCTCGAAGAAAAAGAAAACAATCCTCTTACAGCATATGATATCTTCGAAAATTAGGTTTGCAAAAATAGATATTTAACTATCACCATCCAAATCAACTTTCATTCGGTTCACCTTCCGAACACTTCAACAACCTAATACTCCTAACTTTATGCAATCCCGTCAACAAATTTTATATAAACATTATTTAGAGTAATGTTTGAACTATTTATAAAGGTTTCCACAATGTAGGACTACCCACTTATTTTCGTAAAAAAGCTTGAAGGTCAACTTAAAGTTTAACAGCAAAAGTATTAGAATGTCTCTAAAATAAAATATATCATTCAAAAGATGATTGATGTGAATAGCATTCTACAACAAAAACAAGGTAAATGGCAATCACTATTATAAAAATAGGGAAAGCGCCATAACTTCGTGACATACATTACTAGCGAAATTAAAAAATTCAACCTCCATTTGGAAATGATTCGTCTCCAACAACTTCTGCAACATTGTAAGAAAGTGTTCGATGAACTTATTTAAACTCGATAAATCGTGACAACTTTGCAGCAGCTGATCCATCGCTTCCACAGATATCTGAATTCAACATTTCATTAACAATTTAAAGAATTTTTCCTCCTTTAAAATTTAATTCATTATATTTTCTTTTGCTGAAAAAAGTCGGCGAATTAAAAATTACGTTTAATGCCTTGAAAAAAATCAAATTATAAAAATATCTCCAGCAATTCCTTGTTCATCTGCACGAGATGGACTAATGCATCTAACACCTGCAGCTAGCATGGTCCGGCGCCATCATATCCACAATATAAATTGTAATTTCTAGAACAGATAAAAATACTTGTATCTTTCTTCAAAGAATGGGATTTTCAGACTCAGTGTACCTTTACTTGGTTGTATCTTTGGTGATACAAGTCTCTGGATAATCGCGACACAATGTATTTACCAATTTTGTCCAATTTTTCAGGTCGTGATATTGCATAAAACGTTAGCTTTTGCATATTCGAATTGATCAAGCCTTCCATTAAGGATCTATAAAGATAAAGTGTGTTGGAGAAACAAATAGAAAAATTCTGCGAAACGAAATTAGTTGAACCCAACATTTATTCGAAATAAACTGTCGAATCAAATAACAAGCTTCGTTCATAAGTGGATGGGAAATACGACGGCTTTACTGTAATGTTTGAGCACATTTCAGAACTTTAATAAAATAATCACCTTGGGTAAATGGCGTCGACGAGTCGCCGATATCGTGGTTTGTATGGGGTACAACAGCACATAAAGGTATCCATCATCAATATAGATTCATAAGAATTTGGGAAGAAAATGGATAAAACCTAAAATTAGTAATTTTGGAGATTTATTTGATATGAAACGGATTCGATTTTCAAAGAAATTACTCGATCGCTGTTAATCAACCTTATTCAGCTTCAATTACACTCTAATAAACTTTTTCGTGTGGTATTAGTACCTAGTACAGAAAAATGAGACAGTTTTAAGAAGCACATTATTTAGAAAATAAAAGTTAGCTATCCTTATCATATCAAAAATTGACAGAAATTTATTTGTGCAAAATATGAATATGCCTGTTACAACAGTTAATTGAATTTCACAGAAATTTTAAGAGCAATGACAAGGGAGGAGAGCATGATACGAAACATTCCAATGAAGAAAGCACTATGATTTGCCACTAAAATCCACTCAATAATACACCTATGTATCAATCGTATCCATTCCTACCTCCTTCTTTTCTTCCTTCTGTTTACTCTCCTTAAAAAAATGATTAAAGGTAAAGTTGAGAATGGTGCAAATGTCTTTTGTGAACAGAAATAATTTGCACCCTCAAAAAGGAGATTTTTAATTCTTGTATTTGTAATAATATAACAATAGCAAAATGTGCTGACTCAATTACATGAAAAACACAGTAATTTCGGAGGGCAAAAATGACATTTGCCTGATTTGCTATCAATAAAATAGTTCTCACAATACATCCGAATGTTACCATAATTCACATTTTTGTAGTTTTTATAGAATTATATTGTCTCTTTCAGTGCATACTGTATAGTGGACCCTTAATTTCTCCCTTTTCAGAATCATTTAAGAAATTGTAATGCACCCCACTATTCAAACTGTAATAATATAAAATACAGAAGCATATAAAACAGTAAAAAAATGATACAAAAAGTCAAATTACTGCATCAAAAGGTTACATTAGCGAGCAATCCATCACAAAAGGCTACCGTCCGGTCTACCAACTCCCTGCCATGCCCAAAGCAATAACAGATTGACTAATATAAGTACCAACCGGTTGCAGAATTGCTCATCGTAAGATATAACTTTTGGTTGCGGTAGGCACTTTATTTTAGATTGACTACCTTTTAATCTTTTTTAAAAAAAGGAAGGAGAAAAGTTGATAATTTTCATATCCATTTCCTTTGTTATTTTACCACACTAGATTAATTATTTGATCCATTACAATATTATATCATAAAATTAGTATCAAATTAATTGTTTAACAAATCACCTATTCTTGTCATCTTTCTTTTATTATTGTTTCCTTCCAATCACTGGTTGCTTTTTTTTCCTTTTCTCCTTTTTCTCTCTTTTCAGATCATTTCCGTGTAAATTTAATTTTACTGATCCTTCCTTTATGCATTTCCATTGTTTTTATTTTTTATTCTCATTAATCTCCAGTAATCAATTAGATCAGATCATCAGTAACATACAGCGTTTTTATTGGCATAAGTATCGTATCTTCCAATGTCCTGTGTAGCATTGCAGGGAGTAGAGTAAATTATATTGGTCGAAGATTTTATCAGTTAAGCTGATTTTCATCTTTGTACCTTTATCTAAATATATATTTAAATGGTTTAATTTGAATTGGCGAGAAACTAAAAAACATTTGGCGCAGAAACTACTTCAGGAATCTTTGTAGTGCATCTTCTTAACCTGCCATTAACAATAGCCCAGTAAATATTAAAACTTGTGTAGTGAAATGTTTGTGTTTTAAATGAGTTTAAAAGGAAAAACAAATATATTCTTAATAAGTGAAGCATTTAGATATTTAGGAATATTCGAGATAAGTGGACAAAATAAACAGTTCTGGACCCCTATGTTTGAATAATAAATGCGGTTACACTGAAAACGCATTTCACTGACAAATTTATAAAAAACAAGCTGATTCTAAATTGCTTTCAAATAACTAATAATCAACTTTAATATTTCACATGATAAAATATTTGAACAGGATCTAAATGGGTCCTTTAGAGTTAACTGCTTCGGATTCTTACTGAGTTATACTTTCGATTATGTTCATTTTAATTGATGAACATTTATGAAACAAAACGTTAAAGTTTTTGCTTACTTTCTTTATCTTTTAACTCCTCTCATTGAAAAGAGTTTTAATATTTGAATATTGGAGCAATTAAATTGCAAAGCATATCTATCGTTTTATAGCAAATAAAATTTTGCTGAAAAGTGCAATTGATAATCAAGTGATTTAAAGAATAAATTTACTTTACATTGTCGGTAAAAATATCGAAATGATATATCGTCTGTCATAGTGTTATCGAGATGATATATCGTCTGTCATAATGTTACGGGATGATATATCGTCTGTCATAATGTTATCGGGATCATATATCGTCTGTCATAATGTCTAAAATGACTAAATTTTTTGGTTCAAATTTCAAAAAAGAAATGAAAGCCTTGAAACTCTTTGTTTCATTTTCACTGTAATTAGGATTTTTTTATCTAAAGATCGGAATATCTATTCGATTACCGAACTTAAATCACCTTTCCTTTTCTTCAAGAAATATGAATTTTCTTTTTCATTAATTTGTTTTCAACTCTTTACATCTGATAAAAGATCATAGTTTTATTATTCGAACGTAGTCGTTATTCCCTGTCTGTTAGAGTTTTTCGTATTTATGACAGTGAATTTTTTTTTAATGCCTATTTCTATTAATTTGAGGAAACGAAGAAAACAGTCAAAAAGATTGTTCACAAGGAATGAGAAAGTTGCCTCAACAAATTGCAACAGATGCAGAAATTAGTCATTCACTTGAACGAGCTCTTAGCGTTAGAGGAGAAGATCTAGAAAATACTGAAGAAATTGTCAGTTATCTCAATAATTTGTGTACTGTGCTTACTAGTGTCAAGGAGCTGCCTAATCGAGATGGATTCTACAACGTTATTTGCAAAAGATACGTTTTCAATTTTCAAACTGATACAATTTTTGAACGGTTTGTAGGAATAGTTATAAAGGAGAATGGAAGGTTTTTTATAAAATATAAGTCCTAAAGGTGATGAAAAATAACAAGTTTTTATGATAAGGTTGCTAGATATATGCTGTCAGAAGTGAGCTCGGTTCGTGCAATTACATATCGAATTTTACGAAAAGCTTCTCGGTTACCCGACGACTTGTCAGCATTGTTGAATATACATATGGATAGCTTTGTATTAAGGTTTCATTATTGTTCTTTCATTATCTATTTGGAATGATAGGTTAGTATAGAAAAGGTGTTGATATTTAGCTAGGATTTGGATAAAATATTGATTTAAATACTCTATTATGCTTTTGCAAACTGGTAGCTAATATAGTTTCTGCCTTCTTTTGCAGATATGCGTCAACTAAATGCGTGAAATTAAAAAACCGTAACTAACTGTTTTTTCTGATGGTTGCTTGAGATTCTGAGTCACCAAATAATGCAGCAAAAATGAAATTTGCTTTAATTGTTACACAAAAAAGAAACTTATTACAGATCTTTAGAAATCAACACTAACAATTATGACGAGCGGGTTGAGGCTTTAAAATTATGTTCAATGATGTTAAATCATATGAATGTAAAAGCAAAAAGTTCGGATAATGGACTGAAGAAAGATTATCCGGATGCCATTTTTCCAGAAAATGTTTATCGTGGTTTAATCTCAATTGCAAGTTGTTTCTTCACGGTACGACTAGATAGAACAAAAGTTGAGGAAAAGAAAGATAAGTTAGTTTTTCTCAGCGAATTTACTTTTAAAACTAAAAGAATTATACATTCATTTGTTCCATCTATAGTAAGCTTTTGGCTTTAAAATCTATTTTCATAAGTTTTCGAATCTTGAAACTTCAATTTATCTATCTTAAAACTGATGTTGAAACTCAATACATTACTGTATTAGTTATTAATACTTTGGTTTCGCTTATTGATATTTTAGTTTTCTTAACTCCATCATGTCAGCATGAGGTTAATGTTTGCTCAGTTTGTTTGAAACTTATAATTTCTTTTTTCTGCGAAGGCCTTTCCTTTCACTTTTATTTTGAATACAATCTTTCTAGTTCCAAAAAATATAAACAATTCAATTCAAGCAACTAAATTTTCGGAATCGACGTTTATTTTTAAGTGAGCTTGTAGGGATGAGAATCAATTTCTATGGGAATCAAAAGCCACTTAAACCGGAATCACGTCAAATAAATTCAACATATTGCAGACTGGCATTTTCATGTTTTGCCACAATAATCGAACAAGCTGCCGTTGCTCCAAATCTCATTTTGAATTCTGTTGATACGGGTATACGAATATTGCGAATTTTTTTAGATACGTTTTTTGTTTCAAAAAACGAATTGAATTAACGCTTTGGATTTAGCATATTGCAAGCAACACTCTTTGCAGTTATTTTTATCTTATTCTTAGTTTGTTTATCACAATATTTATAGGGTGGATTGTAGAATTTCTCACGTATGCGGCATTTAGCAACCGTTTGTCCACTTGTGTTTGTCGAATTCTGTGTGCGTGGCTTGATTCGCCACAACTGAGGATACAGGCTAAATTAAGGCTGGTACTGAATGTATGCCCTTAATCGCTTATTTTAATTTCTCGACTTGCTTTAAATTGTTCTGCTTCTTGCATCAATTCCTAATGCCAATGTAGTCCGTGAGATTTCCAATATTTATAGTGGTAACTAATTATAATTGTCTCATTAATTAATTATAGATGTTTTTTTTCTTTTATCTAAAACTGTTGCATACTTTTAGCGAATTTTTGCTTCGGTAGTTGAAATCGAACTTTTTGAACGAAAGGGACCAATAGAATTGTAAGTTTTTTCCATTGTGGTTTTTTGGGAAATTTTGTGTCTTGATGATTTTACTATGCTTACTTAGGAGACTTAAGAAGGTTTTACATAGAAAAGACTTTCGAACATTGAGATTTATTTAAGATTTTAGTGAAAAATCACTATGAAGACTTCACTATCACTTATGTTTAGTCATAGAAAGTGAGGCATATATTATATCTTATGCATTTTTGCTCGATTTTGCTTGGTTTTTGCTTAATTGCATTTTTGCTTCACCACTGCTTTTTATATTAAATCTATATCTTCATTAGTTTCAGCTAATTTTGATTCATTTCAACTTCATTGAAATTATTGTTACAGGGAACAGCACTGGTTGTCAAATGACTCCTTCAATCTGGGAAACTTTTCACAGATATTTTTAAATCTGTTGCGCACTTGGGCTGGTCTTTTTGCTTGCTCAACTTCGGACAATCAAAAAACGTCAACTACTTCTGCACTGAGGTAAGATTTTTTGCAGAAGTTTTCGTCATTATTAACTCTGTTTACTTTATTTTCTTTTAAACCTATTTCCAAACATAAAAAATTTTCGTGTTGTTTTCAGTAATTATTCCCTGATATATAAAGGAAAAGACAGAAAGATCACATAAAATTTTTACCGGGATTATGAAAATTTTGGAATTCAGTTAACTAAAGTAATTCTTTTTATGCAATACTTCATATTTTCTTGACGTCTTGAAATGTTAGTTATTTATAATCGTTAAATATTTCAGTTTTCTCGATTATATAGGAATTAGTCGACCTACACATGCTAACACCCGCAAAATTTGTGGTTTAATCATTGATTGTTGCTGTGAAGTTCTGGAACTTCCGTATTCCAAAACGAGATTCACAGATTGGCTCCATGTAACGCATTACTACTGTAAGTTTTGATAAATAATGCCTAAAAAATCCTACAGAATTACTTATCTCTTTTAGATCATCTTTTTAAAAATGATAAAGAATGAAGAACAAGGTATTATTATAAAAAAAAATGAAAAGTGGTGCATCATTTGACTTCTACTAAGAAAACAATCACAAAATGGTGTCGCAATTACAAAAGGAAGTAAAGTGCATTAGATCAGTTGCAATTTTTAGTTTAGAAGTATTATTTATCGACATAAGGTATATGCCAGGGATTTACTGTCTGTTCATCGTTTAAACGGAGTGTATACGTGAAAGAGAGGAGAGGGAGAATTTAGGAGGTATTAGGCGAAGACAATTATTCAGATTTGACGGACTAGTGCAAATATTGTGGACGTCTGATTGCATTTTAGTAAAATCGAAAGCATTCATTTTAGTGACATCGAAAGCATATGAATCAATTTTGATTGTCTTAGTTCACCAAGAGCAGCCATTAATAAACTAGTTTAAGAAGGCAAATAACTTGTGAAGTCTGAAAAACAACATAAAATTTATCAAAGCTGTTCGTGATCGTGACCATGTTAAACGGAATTAATTTTAATTATAGCAACGATGTACCATCCGGACGTCTGCAAGTGTTCTATACGCAATGAATTTATTTTATCAGAGCATGAAATATTTTTAAAAATCGACCAGGTGAGGTTTTGCAAATTCGTTTTGTCATGAACAGAACAGAAAAAAGATGAAAATTTTTCTTGCATTAATTGACTGCTTTATTTGTGTTGTGAAATTACGGCATCATAAAGAGAAAAGTGCACTAATTAGATACCATTTTTGCTTACTAGTGATCTAAACACATCAATAAATTCTTGAAGTACGATTATTTTTAAATTATCAGTTTGAAGAAAATACATCGACACTTCAATTGATTTTTTCAGCAACATGTAAATGTTAACGACTTGCTAATTTCATTCCATTCAGTTGTCATTTACTTGCTCATCAACGCCAATTTAATTCAGGTAGCTATAAAAGTATAAGACGAAATGCTCATTTGCTATTATTGCTTTTTGTTTCACTTTTTTTGGCCATTTCTGAATTTGAACTTCTTGTTCAGATTTTTTTAAAAGCAAACACTTAATCTTTCTGAAAAAATAAATAATGCCAATTACAATTACTTGCCTAATGCATATGAACTGTTTTAGGCTTTATCACGGATCATATTGCAAGATCCAGATGATCCAGTGGCACTTAGAGCAACACTTTTGATTCACGATCTTTTGCTTGCAGTAATATTATTTTTCTTCTTTTTGCAGTTTTAAGTTCAAGATAAAATCTTCATTTTGGTTTGAGACAGTATTTTAGTTCTATAGGAGAATTGAAAAAAAAGCTTAATATTTTGGCTTAATAACTGAAAGGGAGTTTAATATAAATAACAGAAAAGAGAAAAACTGAGAAAGTGATGCAAATGCTAGCTGTAGAAAATTATTAGGAATTTAAACTGAGTTCAAGCTGATTCTCTTGTGTTGGATGCTTGAAATAGCATGTTCCCCATCACGATGCCTTTTTCGATTTATCAAACTCACTTCTCCTTAATTCCTCATAAACTATTACGAATAGCATTCTTTTGTTATTTACTTTACTTGCTTTAGACTCTACTATAAATCGTTAAAATGCTACATTTTCAAATATGTTACTTTAGACTTCCATATGAATCGTTTAATAAAGAAGTAGAATCATGATGAGCATATTCTTTGGAAAAAGCATTCAAATATTATATTTAGGAAGCAGAAATGTTGCATATTTGGTTTTTTCAAATGAAATATTTTTTTAGAGTTCGACTTCTTTGCCAGTGGAATGGAGGCTTCGAGTTCTAAGTTTGCCAACACTTGTTCATGGTGCTTGTCAAATAGTCAGCGAATCGCATATTTCAAAAAAGTGTTTCTTGGATGATAATGATTATGAAACGGATAAAATCATTCTAACTTATGCTAACCGAAAGTTTATTTTCAAACCCTAACTTGGAAATAACTTTCCAAATTCTAATAATAGTAATAATTAGGTGCAGCCACAGGAAGATAGAAATTATTGTGTTTTTTGTTGAAAAAATTTTTGGTAATTTCTTCCCAGCATCTCGCAGATTGGTCAGCTAATTGACCTAATAATTTGTTTTACTTACTATTGTCATTTCAACAATTTTCTCATCATAGTCTACTTCGTTAATAAAAAATTTTATTGATTCATATTTTTATGACTAAATTTTTTAAGGAATGTTATTGTTCTGCTCAATCGTTTGGACATCTTGAAGAGTATAGCATTGGCACAGAAAACGCAACCATTGCCAATCACCAATCTCCAGCTTTTCGTGCAAAGTAGTCCAACTGCGATAAGATTGCGTAAATCCAGTTCGTCGAACATGAACTTCTGCAATGAAGATGGAGATATCGGTAAATTATGAAGTTTTTCTCACTTTTTTAGAGTGGAATGTTTATTTCTATATATGCTGGCGTTACTCAACCGTCGCTCTAATTTAATTTAGTTTTTACGCTGTTGATTTTCACCTTGCAGCAGCAAAGTATTCTGCTTATTTTATTTGGGAGATGCTATTTAGTTTAATTTATTTGTTTTAAAAGTCGTTTGTTAAGATTATGTTGAGAAAGTTTTGGAAAGATTGCTTCTCAAAGCGGTAGAATCTAACGGAAGGCTCTGTTGGTATGTTGTTGACAAATTATTCCAGCTTCTTCAGACTAACTATTCCGGTAAAGATCTACCCGTCAAATATTCTAGAAAATGTTACAGTATTTTTAAAGTGGTATGTGTTTCTCTTACACATATTTTGATTACTGTTTGTGATAATCATAACAAATTATTATTACCAGTAATTCACGGTTCTGTTTAAGCGTTTATTTTTTTGCATGGATTTTATTTTATGTGAGGTTTCGCACGAGGCGAAATATTTTTCCTATCTTGTTGCTAAATTCCTAAAATTATTTTCCTTTTTAGTTATTCAAATTTATCAGTCCAGCAAAAGGCCTGTTGATTAACTTTAATGACGATCGTTTTGTTATCATATGTTGTTGTCGCGGGATACATGTTTCATTGCTGCTTGCTGCACGAGAAGCACAATACAGAGAACTATTAGCAGACTTTATTAATGACTTTATAGCGAGTATATCAACAGTAATTTTTTAATTTCTTTGCGGATTTGGATTTATTCAAATCCATCTCTGAGCCAGTTATTAGTTATTATTTCAATTGAAGCCAGTTATTTCAATTGAGGCAGTACTAAAAAAACTTGAGATTCTTAAAGTAGAAATCTTTAAGGATGCATTGTTGAATGGGCCATTGTCTCCTAAGAATCTGTTGAATACTGGTGCGATGTATTATTTTTCATTTATTGGTGCCATATCTTCAATCAAGGAAGGAAGACAGATGCTAGAAGCGACGCCATTATTACAGCTGTTAGTTTTTTTATCTATATATTTAGGGTTGTTCTTTATATACTTCTTTCATTTGTTCAGAGTTAACATTAAATTTACGCAGCCACAAGAAAATCATTAAATATGTTATACATTTTTGGGTAGTGATTTCAATAAACCAAGAAGTATAAGGAAGTATAGTAGCTTGCGTAGATGCTTCTTTTTCAATTTGATAGATATGTCATTAATTTATTCATCTTATTCGTTTTATAATTTATATTTATCACATCACAATACTCGTTTGTTTTCTTCTTTGCTTCTCTGTTCATTTCTTCAATGATATATTTTGCTTTTATTGGCAACCGATATATCGAAATTAGAATTGGTTTCACGCAATCCCATCATGATTTATTTCTCTTTCATAGCTGACTGCTTAGAATTTTTTATCCCTACCTAGTATGTCATCATTAATTCATCTTTTCACACTTTTGTTATTAACAGCTCATTTAAATATAATTGGATAACGTTACACTATCTTTCATTCCAAAAGCTAACTGTTAGAGGTGCGTTCTGTGGTGACTTTCGTTTCTGATTTTTCAGGAGCTTATTACATATACATCAAAAGTTTTTATCTTTTTATGATTGCCTGTTTGCTTTTGTGCATTTTAATCTTTAATTGAAGCTTTATTGAAAACAAAAGCTTTCACAAATTATCAATTTGAAATCTAACTTTTCTTTCATAACCCAAACTTGCATTAAAAATCTTTTATTGATTGCATGGAAGTTGTAGATCCTGATTGGTTCCTTACAGTTACATATCTGTGAAATAAGATTCTTAAACAAAAAAAAACTTTATTTAATGTGTTAATGAAATAGAACTTTTCTTATGAAATAAGCTCAACCTTTCGATTCTGAAAAATTTAGAAGTCCCGTCAAATATAATATTCATCAAAAAAATAAAATTTCCACGAATATTTGTGTATCCCAAATGAATCAGCTATTCATGGGAATTTTATTCTTTTGAAAATCATGGAAAATGGGCACAATTTATTGTTTACATAAATGGTCCTAAACCAAATTTTTAGTGTCATTAAAATAGTCCCATGTTCAAAATTCAGAAACTCTCAACAAACCACAATTCATTTGCAAAGGTATTAGTTGTATTAATTTTTAGAGAGCTAGAAAATACATTCACTTAATTTACTATTTCATTCCTCTTTTCCGTCAGAAATTCATTTTGTTCGTTAATATTCCGTTTTAATCCTGCTGAAATTCCTCTAGAATTTATCGTGCTAAAGTTTCGAAAAAAGATTTCCCTTCCAAAAACTGGTATCATTCGCAAATGCAATGCAAAAAACAAGGGAAAATTTTTGTATAATATACATAAAAAGCAGAGAATTATGGCCGCTGTGAAACATAGAAACACTGCTGTATTTGGCTCAATTTCCCCAAACATTTGTACTGTTCGCTAAGCAAAACACCTTGTGGTAATCCAGCTGCAGGATTACAGTACGGTCTACAGTGCTCGTAACCAGGTTCGAATACATTATATGCTTCACAGCATGATGTTGCATCTTGATATCCACTAGCACAGATCATCACATCACCGACTTTTCTTAAAGGACATCGGCCCGTAAGTACTGCTAATTGAATCTAAATTGAGATTTGAGGTGATTAATCATTTGATGATGAATAGTTTACTCAATAAATTTATTAAAATTTCAAACGAATCTGTTAAAAATTCTAGTTGATATAACTAAATAATTGTTATAAACAGCCTATGATTCTATAAAAAAAAAAAGAATGTTTAGCTAGAATTGCTTTTCAGTTGATACTAACTTATGCATTTAGTAAAAGAACCAGAAGAAGTCTACAAGATACAAAAATGAATATTTAATATTTCATCAAAAATGTTTTATGAAATATTCGTTGTAAGCTTCGAGACATTTCTTAACTAATAAGACTAATTGTAATAAATATATTCTGCCAACTGCGCCATATTACCAACTTATTTTAACTCATCAATCATTAAAAAGAAATCGAAAATGACGAACCGTAGTTAAAGTAGCATCATAATTGCATAGTGCAGCACATCCTTCACCTAGTTCTTGACAACATAATTCAAATCGATCATTTGCCTCTTCTTTTGTTATGCATGGTTCCCAGTTGGGTCGTGGGCACTTAATTATTTGTCTTATTAGGAGAAATTAATATTTGTAGATCTGAAGTAGACTTCATTATATGACTTGTCAATGATACATAAATGTAGATTACTTATGAAATTGTACTTGCGGAATAGCTTCAACAATAATGCACATTACTTTACACCTTAGACCATTGATTTTTTGGAAGTTTCATCAGATCAGTTTGGCAAAGCAGTGATTAATTGCAGTAATATTAAGGTAAATAGAGATGTTTGCATGAATTACCTGAGCAACAGCAAAGGGTCGTTTTGAGCCAGTTTTATAGTACGATCCTTCGATATAATTAGTCGGCGTATCGATACTGTATGCATGTGATGGCAATAATGCAGTTTGTGCTATCTGTAAATACAAATTGTAAATTTGTGATAATACCAGCCATTAAACGAAATAAAGGAACATTTTGTTTTGATAATTATCAGAATTGATCGAACAACTTTAAGATCAGTGATATAGTCAATGAATGATAAACGATCAGATATCACTTTGATTCATTTATTTCTTAATCTTCAGTTGTATTTCTCTTTTGTTAAACCATCACATTTAGAATAATTAATCATCGAAGAAATATCATTGCTGGAGTTTATTCCTCTAAAATCGTTAATTCTCCATAAATTTTGCGTTAATTAATTAGCATTAATTAATGAAAATGAGGAAGAACCTTTTGAGAGAAATGAGATTGTGGAAGTGGTCTAATGGGTACAGTAGATTGCTGATTTATCGTATAAAAGTGTTGTTGTGGTTGTTGAACTTGCAGGTAAGACGTTTGCCGTTGTGGTTGCAGTTGTTGGGCAGGTAATTGTGGTTGTCTATTAATAGGATACAGTGGAACGACTTGCTGTTGATTTGCATAAGATACTGCTTGGGATTGCTTTTGCTGTGGTTGCAAATAGATTTGAGGCTGAGAACTGATGACTGCATATGGTGCAACTGGGTGTTCAGAAGCAACTATGTCTGTTCTTTGTCTTTGAGGTTGAAATAGTTGTGTTTGGGTGGCTGGTTGAGCGGGAAATTGTTCCGGTGATATTTCAGCTACACTTTGATCAATAGGAGGCGCAAATGTTATCTGCAAAATAATAAGTCGCAAAAGTTTAGTTTGATTTTTCGATGATTTATGAGAAATGAGAAACATTAAATATACAAAAATACTATTTATTTTATAAATGAAAAGAATGGGTATCAAAGTTCGAACTATATAATCGTATTATATGATGGCATATTAATATTTGTTTCTTCTGTAGATGTCTTGACTGATAAAACTTTATCAAATTTACTTCTCAACTATGCAACACATCTTTCGGTATCATTTTTAGAATATCAGTAATTTACCATTGGAAATATGGACGGTGGAAGTGTTGGGAAAGTGAATGTTAGGAATGGTGGAAATGTTGGAAATGCAGTATCAATCAAAGCAGTTTGTTGATTTGGTACAGGCGGGGGAGGTGCAGCGGGAAGTGATCTTACAAATGGAAGTTGAATTCCTGGTTGAGATTGTTGTGGCAAATATTGGTAATGATATAAGTCGTATGGTGATTTCTGTGTCGGTAGTGGAGATATCTGAAGCAAAAAATAAAAACAATTCGGCTGCTTTGAACTTACTCTATTTCTATTTTAATTTAATCTTTTATTTGGAAAAATTTCATAAAAACCAAATAAGAGCTATCTACATGCATTAAAGATAGCTCTCATTTAGTTTTTATGAAATTTTTAAATCCAAATTTTTTGTATTATTACTTTATTGCTCTTCCTCAAAAACAAAATTAATATTTTACTTCTAAACGTGTAACTATTTAAATCATTCATGCTTACTTTGTTTATAATATTTAAGATGTTTTTGTGAAGATTTAAACTTATCACTTACCAAGCTATACTTTGCGCTATATGATGGGTGCTGTGGGAATGGCTGTTGTGTGTTTACATCCCTAGCTTGAGGTCGTTGGAACTGTTGTAAAACGTTGGATGATGAATCATTCACAAACTTTGGTAGATGTCGTTCCTGAAGTAATAATGTTCTGTTATAAAGTTAACAAACGTTCTGATCAGATAGGATTTGAAATTATCAATGGGATTTCAAGCAGAAGTATCTTATGCAGCAAAGCTTCAGATCTTTTGCACTTATTTATATTGCATTGGATGGACAACATTATTTTAGGTTGCGCATCATAAACCCACCGTTCAAAATATCTCATTCGAGATTCCAGTCATTAAACGACCGATATGTTACATACTAAAATGCATATTTTGAAGTTACATACTTTGAATGTAAAAATGCTCTGTATAGAAATATAACACCATTACAGAAAATATATTAAAGGTTACTTCTTCTAGTCATCTGCAAGATGTAATATTTTAAAATAGATCAGCAATTGGATTTCAAGTTTTCAATATTTTGGGAACTTCTGATAATTTCTATGATAGACGCTCCTACTCCAATTCATTTTAAATTTCAAAAAAGGTATTATTTAATAAAAATTAAAAATTCATTCCAGTAAAAATTTTTCTCTACTTCGATTGAAGGACTTTTTTAGTTTGTGGTTCTAAACTATTTTGAAAAAATTTTCTCTTATCGTTGAAGATAAGAGAAAATTTTTATTAAAATATTAAAAACTTGAAATCCAATTGCTGATCTATTTTAAAATATTACATCTTGCAGATGACTAGAAGTAACCTTTAATACATTTTCTGTAATTCCTATCAGTTTATCCTTTCTTATTGTTTTATGTTTCTTATCTTCTAAAAATATAAGGAAATTGAGTCAAATCCAAACATCAAAAACGCTAGACCAAATTATTAACGCTTCTGAAACTATTGAAGATAATCTAATGGTGACTTGCTATTCAAAGTTAAAATGATGCCTAAGGAAGTGTAAGATTCTATTAATTTAGGAATCCCTAAGGTTTTTCTTCATCAAATTTCTTAACTGTTTTATAACTGATGTAAAGCATGTAGTACTTAGTGAAACAATTTATAACTGATTTGTCATTATTGGGCATTTGTCATGTTTGATAGTTTTCTGAATGAGAGGAAACATACTGGGACAGAAATTTCTTTCAAGCATGGTCTACAAGTTTCGGGACACATTCTAGCGATGAAAGGCACTCTACAATGGTGACACCGGGCCCTTTGACAACTTGGCAGATCAGCAGCAATGTTACCAATGAGAATCGAAATTGCTACGGACAAAAATACCAACGTCGTATCCATCCGCGCCTATAATAATAATACATTCTCACAAAGGAGGATCAACAACTTTTGGATTATCCGGTTATGATACATCTTCATGCCAAATATGAACAAGGAAAAATGAGACTATGAAGCCGCTCTTTTTTTAATCTACTTATTGGTCCAGGTAGTACTTATTAAACAATTAAGAATATTTGTCAAGTTTTGATGCTTTAACTAATGCTAAAATAGCAGCTTGAAATAATACCAATATACATGGCAATTATATTAAATCGCGCTTCACTATTCATAGATATCATAATTTGAATGCATTCACGTAAGTTAATATAAAGAGCACAATCTTTGGTCGCATTTTCTGTCTTAATTCACATTGTTCTATTTTCATCGATAACAGAAAAACGATCTTAATTTTATCAACCGCTTTTTATTTCATTTTCAGTATTTATCAGAGGAGATGAGAAAATTTCTCTCATGCTCGAACATTAAAAGTTAAAAGGAAGAAATTTTATTTGGCCTGGATTTGAAAATATGTACTTGAAATATGCTCTACTTGAAATATCATTAACATTTTTCGTTTTTTATTCTCGCGTACATTTATTTTATCCTGGATGGTTATCAGTTGATTCACAAATTTTCCTATCCACTTTACAATAAGTAAAATAGATATTGACTATTAGTTTTCACATTATCATATTATATTACTCGAAATATAAAAGTTAAGCAATTCAATTTGGATAATTTTAGTAATTAATAAGTAGAATAGGCAACAGTGATCGTTATACTGATTATAAAGAAATGATTATAAGAAAAAAGTGAAGAATGATTATTGTAATTATAAGCTTGTTAGGGAAATCAGCCACGAACTAACCATTAGTTTTAATGAGTATTTATGATACTTGATTGATAATAAAAACAAATTGTAGCCATTCGAAGAGTTGTCAATGAGAATTAAAAAGAGGAAAAATTATAAGAAATCTATTCAATTCATACCAGTTTCTTGTTATTTATATAATCATAAAAATGCTTTCTAGCTAATAATCATTATCATTTCTAGAGTCATCTGGCCTGTAGTAATTCCGGCTAGTTTTTGGATGAATTTAACGGGAAATTGTTTCTTGCCAATGTAAATGTTAAAATTTGAATGGCTCAATGATTTATTAAAAAGACGCAAGTAATCCTTTCCATCCATCATTTTCTTGCTGAAAGCTTTAGGAAGTCAAGCAGGAATACCTAATTTCTTATTTATAAGGTATAGAGGCTTGAATGAGAAATCATTATTTATAAAAATTTGAGGTTACGATCGAGAAAAATAAGAAGGATGATTTATGAACTATTCGTTGTGCGAAGAAATCAATTTACGAAATAATTTATAGAAGTTAGATTTAAACTTCTTTTCCTACATTATTGCCGAAGAGATTAAATATCGAGACTATCACATTATTGTTGTAGTGATAACATTTATCTTTATATATGGTCAATATGAAAGGTTGTAAAACTTTGAGAAGTATTAATTTCTCTGAAAAATGAAAGAATATTTCGAAAAAGGAAGACAATGAAAATGAAGTAATATTAAAAAAACTAATATACTTTATCAGATGAAATCTTAAAAAATTGTAGAAGAAATTATGGTACGAAAGAGTATGTGGTGTTAGGTGAAGATAATGAAGAAAGGAGTGGATGAAAAGTTGATAATTATTGCGGGCCTTCTTTATTCCGCATCAATATGCGATGGATTAATTAATAAAGCTGGTAGTGATAGAAATTGAAATCTTTTTTGGAAGAGTGATGAGATTATGAAAAGTAGAGAAGTTTTAGGATAAAAGAGAGCAGCAGTGTGTTAAAAATGGAAAATGAAGATTGAAATTGAGCTTGCGAATATGAAAAATTTTTCGTCCGCTCATCATCCATCCCAATCCATAAAGATGAGGGAGTGATGATGATGATGATGATGATGATGATGATGATGATGATAATGATAATAATGATGATAATAATAATGATAATGACGATAATGATGAGATGATTGATAATGATGGTCATTTGTAGCTGTATTGCTCACCTAAAAAGGAGAAAACTGCTACGCAGTAGGGAGAAAAAGAGAAATGGGAGAAACTTTTCGGAACAAACTCATCCATCCTGAAAGGAGATCGGGGGAAGGGAATGGGGGGATGGGGGTGAAAGGATGTTAAAATCGGGTTTGATTGCTGTTCCTGTTTGTCATCATTTACGTATATATGTATATATATGGATGAATGAATGAATAGATAGACAATTGAGTGTGGAAAACAATTGTTAAATGTTGTGTGCGCAATATACAAAATAATCAAAGTTTGAAGAAATTAGACAAACATAGTGAGATGAGAATATGAAGAAAGGAAGAGATACCAAAGTGGACATTATTAATCAGCTTCCCTTTCTTTATATTTCAAATTCAATTTTATCATCGATTACTCCATCATTTCCTCATAAAAATTGGGAAAATTTTGCATTAAAGAAATGGAGGAAGAGAAAGAAGGGAAAGTGGACATTTCTTGTGGTCAGCAATTGTTATCATTTCATTCATATTTTGCTGATAATTGTCATTTCATCTTTCTACTTGTAGTAATTTGATGAATAATGATCATGTCAGGGATCAATGTATTTATCATGTATGTATTATAATCAATGGAATTGTTAAACTAATAGATTAAGAAGAGAACTAGAAAAATCTTTATTCTTTATATGAATTATAAATTGAATTGATTAAATGTAATATATTTATCTCTTAAGATTACATATATATATAATTTTATATTTAAACTGGAAGATTTAGATAGTAAATACATGTATAAGTGTGTTTTCTAAGATAGTTTCATAAGCTAGGAAAATTTTATTTCATTACGAACTAACAAACACGACGTACCTTACTTAGTCCTCGGATAAAGCATTTCATCAAAGATAGTACGTTCAACTTAATTTACATAGCACTTATTCATCGGATTGTAGGTCATTTTGTCTCTGAGTTTGTATAACTAAGAAGATGTGAAAAGAAAATATTCAAAATTGAAAAATGTTTGTAAAAAAGGATTATTAAGTTTCCAAAGATTCTCCTATCTCATCAGTAGCAACACACTTGTTAAATGATATATTAAAATATCATTCATTGTTATACTTTGGATAGAGAACATTTGTAGTTTTCATCCTTAAATTATTTACAAATAGTTCTCTTCCTTTTTAGGTAAGTAGGTAATTTTAAAATGTTAGAATTTGTTTGCGAATGACGATCACATATCTAATTTATGGATAGATTAACGGATTATCGGGAAAGAGTGATTAATACAACATTTTCGAATTTAATTCTCAATACTTCAATAGGTTAATATCACGAGGATAGACTATGCAGTTCACAAGTGTCATCACATTTATATTACATTCATTTTTTGGTGCCGCAAAGAGATTAAATAAGAATTGATCTCAAAATTACGGCCAACAGTGTAATATCAATATTTCATTAATTTTAATAGCTTAATCATCATTCACTCTTGTGTAGGTGTATCACTATTGCTAGAGATAATCTTTCAAGGGAATAGGAATATTTAAAGGAAAAGAAAGAAAAATCTCGAAAGGCTTCTATTTAAGGATTTTCGAATTATAAGATCAAAACCACAAACATTGATCATTGCAATAAAAACAGATAATTAATGAGTAAAATATTATACCTATCGGTATATACCTATCGGTATGTCGGCTGATTTGATTCTTTGGAATTCCATGAAATTTGTATTTTTTCAAAAATTCGTTTTTATTCGACAGCTTTTCCTCAATCTCCAAAATTTTCTAATCAAAAAGTGGATCGGAGGGGTTTAAGCTATTAATTTCTTGAAGACGAGGTTTTTTAACTTTGTCTTCAAAAAATAGTAGTTCAGACCTCTAAACAAGTAAATGAACAACTGGAAATTTAAATATATGTTTTCTTTTCCACATTTATCAAATTTCAGTCGATATTTCATGATATATGTCTTTGATATCATGAAAATGATACACAAGTAGTCATTTTTTTTGATATCAATTTGGATATTGCAACCGTCAAGTCTATTTACAACACTATCCAGAGAATGTTTATCTTATCAAAAGCATATGCTTGGATAAGGATATAAAAAAGCATCGGGATTGTTAACTCCTTTGAATAGATTAAAGCATTCTGTAAAGAATTTTGAAAAAGCAGTTTTTGGTGTCTCGTAGCGTCCAAGCCGGAAGTAATAAATTAATATTGTTTCCCTAATTAATTTAATGCTTTCTAATTATGAATTTATATTACATATTCTTCATTTTTGTTCATTCGATCTCCCTAGCAAAATTTCTTCATGACATAAGTGAATACATTGATATTTTTATTTAAAACAATTCATTGTCACTGAGAAATGGAATTGTAATGGACTGGAATATCTCAAAGGTTCGATGAATGTGATAAGTAATAAATGAGCGGAAAATGAAGCTGAATTAGGAGATTTTGAAATTATACACATCTATTTATGACCATACCTTATCATACTGATAAAAATATCCTTTGTCTGTTATCAAAAACACATTATCATTAAACTACTAATAGTTTATTTGGCTAATTTCTCGTAAAGAAGTAATGTAATTACGACGAACAAATGATTTTTTGATAATTGGTTTTTATATTATATCATGATTATGATTTGAAAGAATGAATGTTGAGAAACGTTGAAAGATATTAATTTGCGTTCACCTCAGTTTTTATATCATTATATATGCCTTGTACAACACATTTCAGATTTGCAAATTTAGTGAAAAATACCAAAAATGTGGAATATGTCAAACTCATCGTATCCTGCCTGGATTATAGTTCTGAGGATTCTTTCAATCGTTTTATCCTTCAAACAGCTCTTACTAGTGCTAATGTGGTATCATTTTAAATTCAATTAAATGATTGTGATTTGAAAAGAATGAATGTTGAGAAACGTTGAAAGATATTAATTTATCTGTTTATGCCTATTTAAATTTCACGGTAGATTTCATTCTGAAAAAAAAACTTACTTTCTTATTTGTCTATAAAACACAGAAATATATTACTACTAAAGATTTATACTTATACAATGAAATTCTCTTCTATTAATAATATAACTACTAATTAATTGATTATCTTTGCATTGCTTCAACGATCCGTCCCATTTCGCTTCCTGCTTATATTTTTATGATTTTGACTATTACTGAAGGACGATGTTAGAATTTCTTCTTTTTAAAATCTGGAATGCATTTGTGCTATTAACTTTTTTGTGTTAATAGTCACTTTAGAGTGGTAGAAAATGGACAACTCGATTTTTGACTATTTTGTTGTCCCACAACATCAATGATTTCTCTATTTGGGGAATAAAATTATTGTTGGATCAACTTGCGGACTCCTCGGCAAAACTTGTCCGACATTCGTTGCGTCTATTACACCTTTGGATACCGGTATGTCGGCTGATTTGATTCTTTGGAATTTTGCGAAATTTATTTTTTTAATAAAAACTTGTCTTTGTTCGACAACTTTTCCTCGATCTCTAAAATTTTCTGATCGAAAAGTGGATCAGAAAAGGTCTAAGCTATTGATTTCTTAAAGGCAAGATTTTTAACTTTATCTTCAAAAATTAATAGTTCAAATCCTTGTAACAAGTAAATGAACAGCTGGAAATTTAAATATATATTTTCTTTTCTACATTTATTAAATTTCAATGGATATTTCATGATACCATGATAATGATACATAAGAAAATATTTTTTTCATATCAAGTTAGATATTGCAACCGTCAAGTCTATTTACAGCACTATCCAGAGAGTGTTTATCTTATCAAAGACATATGTTTGGATGAATTTGGTGACGCGGGGATTTTGCTAAAGGCGTATATTTTTTCCAGTGAAAGTTACGTAAAGGATAATTCTCATGATACTTTAGCAACTCTGGATTATTGGAAAAAGGTTCAAACTGCATCAGTTTTGATAATTAGAGTTAGAAATTCAAGAATTTTATTGAAATGAGGATCCGTAGGAAATCCAACGTGTAAATATTAAAGATGTCATTGATAACTTGTATGGAGAACGCGATGGCGTATGAAAATGTCAGTTATATGGAAATTTCAGTCTTTATTTACTTCTGCAGCTGTCGCTGTTTTTATGGCCGTTTGATTAGTTACCGAAATCTATTAGAAATTAGTCTTTTTTATTGATTTTCGTTAATAGTCAAATCATTATTTAAGTGGTTTAATTTTTCATTTTTGATAAAGTTTCTTCCAAGTACTTTTGCTAATCTAATGAGTTGTAGTAATTAGTGGAATTTTTTTTGGTATTTGCTTCCTAATATTGTATTTTGATTATCATAATTTGTTATATGTAGAAATTCAATATGCGTTACGTCGAGATAATTGATGAGGATGTCAGGGTTGCTTTGTTCGATTCGAAGCGTTCAATCGATGGACGGTATGCAAGGTCTTCAAATGAGCGGTCTGTTCATTAATATAATTATCCATAATTTTATATTACTATTATTACTCAATAAAAAACAGGCATCACTAATTCTCTGAAATTCATGAAGTTTGACATTTTGTCCCAATGGTTACATCTTTTAAATTTAGGATTGGTAAATTAAATGTGCCAATGCCAGTACATCTTTATGGACAACTAGCACAGCATGACACTGGTCGTGAACTACTGCTAAGATCGAATGAAGTTAATCGATTGCTTGATGTTTTACGTAATTCGCCTTTACCAACAGATGCTTATCAAACGTCCAAATTAAAAGGTGCGCTGTACGCGCTGGGACATATTATTGCCAATGTGAACCCAAGTAAGTTCTTTTTCACTTATACAGTTAAATGATTTCATGTTTTTTCATAGTTTGTATAAAAATTTTTTCAGATCTTTTACCCTCAGAAGCAGTACCAATAATATGTCGCTTTGCTGAGTGTTGTCCAGTCCTTAGCATTCGAGGCACAGCTTTCTGGGTTCTTAACCTTATTGGTAATACACAGCTTGGTTAGTAAATCCATATGTTAAGTTTATTATTAGAACTTAAATTCTACTTCTACAAGTAATTTCAGATAATGTAGAATTTAACCGACTCAAATTTAATCTTATAATTTTTTGATTCATTTTACAGCTCTTAAGATATTTATTGCTTCAAATTAGTAAATGTTGTACGAGTTTGGTGGACAATTTGATGGACCGATGCAGTTCAAAATGTAAACATGTGAAGATTGTTTAACTGTAATAATATTGTTATAGAGCTTAATTATTTTACTTATGTTTTTAATTGCAGCAACTAATTATTTTGCTCCTTGCTGTTTGATTTTTGAATATGTGCATATGTCAGATCTTTGACTCTTCTTAGAACGAAAATTTTTTCGACTTT